TAAAAATATAAAATGTAATTAGGAATTTGCTGTAAAGTGTAAAAACCTATTTTTTACTGTAACTTTCATTTTATTTCCTGTAAAAACGTAAAAGTAGACTTAGATGTGAATACTGTAGCTTACCCAACACTACGCAACTTACAAATGCAAATGGTTATACCATCTTTGGGGTAAATTTGCATCTTACAGCCATGAAAATAAATAAAATAACACTAGACGGCTTCTTCTATTTACAACAGACTTGGTGACTCAAATCTTTGCCTTTCCACTGAATAGGAATATTTTCCCTTTAATTGGACTTGCTTTTAAAAACGATTATTTCAGTAGATTTATTTGAATTCACCATAAATGCTGTCCATTTTGATGAAGTACAAGACATCACCTTCAGGGATTATTCCTTTTGCCGTTAAAATCGTCTATAACCGACCAATTCCCGAAATGCGCTGTCATTCACTATTTCAGTAATGTGTCCAGTTGCTACCATATGCAATTTTCTGTCAGTAGGATTAGCTATGCATCTTACTCATAGGACGCATTGTTTGCCTTAGAACCAACCCCTCATTCAAACTTATCGTTCAGTACTTACGACACCTGAATACCCCACACTGGGACCTGACCAAATCACTCATTTGTGCAGTACAAACTTGGAGCTAGGACCGCGTGATTAAGACATTGGGGAGCTGGCAGACAGTTATCTCAGATGTATCTATAGCTCAGATGGGGACTTTAGTTCAGGCACGTGAAGCACTAGAGGAACAGCTATTAAATAGGCTATCAACATAATATGTGGGTATGTGTTGGTCTTTGCATGTTTTATTTTAATAGCAATGATATTAGTTTAGGTTTGTTAAATTTGTCTGCTATTATTATTGAGAGAGATGTTCATTCAACCTCAGTTCTGTCACTTTTGGGAACTTTGTATCCCCCCCCCCCCCAACATTAACCATTAATGCTTGTAGGTACAGCTCCCATGGTATCTAAATTTCACAAATACATTGAGCTACCACTCACTTAGATGGAGACGAACGCTACGTTTACCTATAATCTATTTCCGTTACCGTTGGTTCCCAACCACATCTGCCAGTAACACCCCTGTAGTTTACAGCCACAGTTACTTGGGGGCTGAAAAATCAATAAATACTAATTTTTTTTTTTTTTTTTAAATCATCCGCTATACGTATATTTATATATATATTTATATACGTATAGCTGAATTCTGATTGTAAAAGTTGTGGAATAACAGGCCGAAATGAGGGGTAACTGGAAACAGCAGGTGTAACTGCGAGAGGTGGGAACAGAGATGGAGATACATGGTGAGATACAGGGCGACTGTGACTGTAGAGACAAAGTGCGACTGGAAGAGATGGTGAGACATAGATGACAGAGAAATGATGATTGGACATGCAGTGACAGAAGGAACAAGAAAGGGAGAAGCAGGGTGATTGGAGAAGCTGGAAGACTGGGAAATGACAGAGTGCTGTTGAGTGATGGAAGTGTGTCATTGAGAAGAGTTCGATTTACATTTTGTCATTGTTAGCAATGTATATTTACTTTGAATCTTTGAAATATTCTCAAAATTCATTCCTTTAATATTGAGGTGTTTCTTATTTCACTGTTTTATGTACATGTACATTATCAAATGAGCCATCTCTCAAAAAATATTGCGGACATCAGAGAGCACCACACCAACCTATCAGAAAATATGACAAGTTTTGTGAGTACTTTTGCTGTGTTTTCTGCCCACACTTAGTTGCTACAATTTATTGCTATTTGTATCCGCCGCTTTATGCAATAAAGAATTGCTGAGTGTTTCACGTTACTCCACTGATCTTTGTCTTCTTTGGTCCAAAATACCATGCTCTGTGTCCTACCACCCAGTAATATTTTTGAACTTAGCGTGGGAAGCATATATCAACAACTCTATCAGTACATATAAATCTCCCAAACCACAAAGTGATTGGAAGATGCAGAGTGGGAAAGGCGAAGTGATTAGGGGAGAGGCAGGTGACATGTCTCAAACAATCTCTACAGTTCACTGTAACTTGAAACTTACATGAGAGTACTAAGCTTTTTAGATGTCATATGGACGAAAGAGAATTAGAAATCTCGTATTACAAATTAAAGTTACATAGATGTCATTCTGATGATGCTCAAGTCACTCTCATATTAATTTTTTATATACAGTGAGGCAGGGTAGCATAGGAATAAAATTACCAAACGCAGAATTATCAGTTTTTAAATAGTTTACTATTCTTAAAGGATATAACAACATGTCAGTATTCTTAAACTAAACCCTTCCTATGTTCTGAACTTAATACTAATGTTTGCTATCTGTAATTTTATTTCCAGGCAATAAAAACTGTTTTTGTTGTTTTACTTTCGATGTAATCAGACTGCTTCAATAATGTTTCAACATTTTTTGCCGAGTTGCTGGACAGTAACCATGTTGTATCAGCTGTTCAGATATTAAAATAATTTGATTTGATAATCTTCATCTTGTTTGATTCAGAGTACAAATTGAAAGTACATTTTGACTTCCTGTGATAATTCTTCCGATCACTCATTTCTACAACTATTTTCTCAAAACTTGACTAGCTTTCTCACTTATAAATAAATGCATCAACTTTATCTTGTCTCGGCATGCAACTTTGTTCAGAGTTCAGATACTAATGACTTTTGTTTCAGAAATTAAATTTGGGAAGTAAGGACGGATCAGTTAACAATTCACTTTTTTTTCAAAAAGTCTTATTATCCTCACTTAAAAAATCTTTACTCTGTCAACTCGCTTGAGAATTGTGTTTTATTGGAATGAGAAGTCACTTAAATCTCAGGTGTCATTTTTTTCCTGAAACAAGTTCCATCAAAAAAATATATTTTTGTATAAGCACTGGAATATTTTGATTTTGTATAATTAAAAAAAAAAGTTGCTTGATGCGATTCCTAGGGAGAATACATGCGAGAAAGGATACAATACTCCTAAGAGTTAAGTAGAGTCCACAGCAAATAAAAATAAAATTACATCACAAAACTTGAAAGTTCTCTTGATAATATAAGACTTGTGACTGTAATATTGTTCTGGTTCCACGTTTTATCAGTCTTCTAGCCAAGAGCGGGCAACAGCCGCACACTCTGGCCTGCAAGGATTCCTTTAGATTTAGTGATGTGGCACATGTTCTTAGATATATATATATATAACAAGGTTTTTTTTTATCTACAGGCACAGCAGCAACCTGCATTGTTCATTCAACAGTGTTACTGGATTACACTGGATTTGTTCGGTTCAAACTGGATCTATAAGTCTGAGTGGATTGCACCACTGTCTACAGCATGCTAGCTAAGTAGAGAGTTTTTGTGAGTAGTGAAAGTACAATTCAACAAAAACAAATAGATAAAAAGCCAGGATTTCCATGCAAAACTTTCAAGCAACGAAAAAAAAAAAAAAACATCCTTGAAATGTTTAGATAGCGAGATGAATAAGGTTTCACTGCAATAAACTTGTGCATGAAACTCCAAGGCAGGTCAAAACTATAATATAGATAGATGCACATGTGTGGTGGCAATGACTTGAGTCAAATACAAAAATTTAGTTTTAGGCATTTTTGATGAATAAGTATGAGCCAATCAAGATGTGACAACTCATCTTTACAAAAATTAGAATAAATCAGTGCCATCACTTTCTGGTATCATACTCACGAAGCTGCCACATCAAGACAGGCAAGCCACAACCAATGCAAACAAGTTAGATTTGGCTGGAACTGGCTGGAACCAGTTATTTCAGGAGAGTTGCAACGTAGTCCTCAATATTGATACCAATCTCTTGACAAACTTCAATGACTTCTTTAATGTCTTCCAGTCTGTTGCTATAGGCAACCTCAAACAGAATAAACTAAACGAATGGAGACAAATAAGAAGCATTAAAAGCAGCTAGTGTAAAAGTTATTTTTAAACGGAAATAAATTCTCAAAATGTTCCTCATGACAACAACTTCACAAGCTGGGTTACTACAGGTCTCAGATCATCAAATTTCAGATTTTATTAGATCACTTATCACTGTTTTTCCACTCAGATTGAAAGCTGGGTTCCTGGTGGTTGTGCCTTTCTCTTCTAAATCTCATACAAGGCAGTCGGCCATGACACTCAACTATTTCAGATCATCAAATCTCATTGTTTTTCTGCTCAGATTTAATGCAGGGTTTATACAGGTCTAAGCTAAGCTCATCAAATTTTAGATCTTTTTAAGACCAATTTTGTTCAAATTGAAAACAAACTAATAGTAAGTTGAGCTATATAGCATGAAGGCATTAAAAATGTCTGAGGATATAATTTTCAACTGTGTAAAATTGCTGTTTTTCACATCCATTTAAAAACTCATCAAAACAATTCTGATAGCAGGCTTCTTTAAGTTGGGTTCAGATGTTTTTAAGACATTTATGGTTTCCACAAGAACCCTGATGGGACACTACATTTCAGGGTGAATTTCAATCTGAATGTCAACAGTGGTTCCAATACCCAGACAGCAACATTTGAAACACAAAACATGCCAAATGAAAGCAACAGAAAGCAAAAATATTATTATATCAATAAATATATTAATTTATCGTTACATCTTTCCAAAGTGTAGCAGCGAAAGGCAGGGCTTGTGTTGCTTTCCAATACATCCGATGAACCTGTAAAGTAAAAGAAAAACACTTCTGAAACAAGGAAATACAAAAAGTGAAAATTGATTTACCAGAAGGCTATGGGATTTAAAAAAACACTTGATACAATGTTTTTCCATTGATGACAGTAATGGTTACAGTCATCGCTACATTAATCATCATGTTTTGTTTACAATTAATTGTAGTTATGGTTACAGTAATCTTTGTTTTATCATTGGTTACAGTGATGGTTACAGTAATCTTTGTTTTACCATTGGTTACACTCATGATTATAGTAATCTTTGTTTTACTATTGAAGACAGTGATGGTTACAGTAATCTTTGTTTTACCATTGGTTACAGTCACGGTTACAGTAATCTTTGTTTTACCATTGGTGACAGTCACGGTTACAGTAATCATCATTGAGTGTAGTTATGGTTACAGTAATTACCACTATGGTTACAGTAGTGATAATGTACACATCACAGTAGTCATTGTGTTATGATGGAGGTCATGGTTATAAGTAAAATTACAGTTGTTCAACCATTCATATTAACATAAACATATGAAAGTACCTCTTTATAATTTGCTTGCTTGAGTTCCAATAGTATTGCTCTGCAACATAAGGAGATAAAGGTCTGAAGTCAGACAACAGAATTAAACATCTTGAACCAATCGCATGAAATAACAGTATACAGTAAGTTGCAGTCTCCATGAATCAGATATAGGGTTCAATGGTCAAGTACAGTGTACAATGTATTTTGTAAGTTCTAGCCACCAACAGGGGAACATGTTTGTTGTTACATTAAAAGCAATTTACAATGACTTTTGCATGGGTAAAAACATTTTTTTAACTGGCTTTTAAGATTTTAAGAGTTTTGAATTAGATACATCAGAATAAATGTATTTTACACATGTTGTATACATCGCTATGAGTCCCATATCGAACAGGACGCGGCACAACGACTGCCGCCCTTTAAGTTTATGATAACCAGCATGTAAATAATATCAACAATCAATGAATGGATGACTAAATAGGTTTAAATGTTGTCCACTACACACATAATAACAATTTGTTAGTATTTATATATGTTGAAATTGATACGGTACACTTTCCACAGTGGTAGGCAACATGGCATAACATCAATGCATCCACTGCATATCCTCTGTGCTTCCTGTAAATTACCAACTCTTATTTCATACTGGCACCACCTACACACAACAGAGAAAACAAAACACATTATGCAACTACTACTACTACTAACACAGTCTTATCCAAACATCAGACAAAGAGTACATGATTTATGAAGGTCAATGTTCTTTTTAATGGCTTATTTGAAACAATTTTAATATACGTCTGTTATAGAGACAAATTCTCTGACATAAACAAAACAAAAATAATATATAATACATGTTAAAACTGAGTATAATTTCAGACTGAAATTGAAAAAGAATGTTAATTTGAATACCCATCAGACTTTCAAATAAGCAGTTAAATTGAATTACTCCTGTATCATAAGTGTGATAGAAATGTATAAGCAACCCGACCACCTCCAGGTAATTAATAATATGCAATTCTGACAACTATGGTGGGAAAAAAAATTTGCTGACAATTCTAATTAGTGTAACCTGAATAATCTTTGAGAGAATACATAAATGATGAGTTGGTAGCTAATTAGGTACATAGACTCACCTCAATGCTAGTATGGCATTATCGGGCATCATTCTCAAATATCTCTCGTAGACAGCTGACCAACAGTCCTCTTTCACACAACTCAGATACAGACTAATTACGTTGTTATGGAAACTATAGTCACTCCACAGAAAAGTAGACGAGTATGGAGGATGCACCTGGGTTGCCATGGTGATTAAACAGCGATTAACAAGATCTGTAAATGTCTTCTGTTCTCGGCTCATTGTTTGTGACGAGGCGGTCCTCCGGCATTGATATTTCAAGTATCTATATGGAAATGGAAGCAAATGTCCATTTTCTAATTGATACCAAGATATGCAGCATTCATAACTATGAAATGTAAGCACCAGTTTTCATGTGAAAAAAAATAAATGCATTTGTGCTATACATCATATAGGATGCATATCAAACATGCGACTCGCTGCAAAGTAAAATCGAGATATTTATTATTGAAAACCAGTACTCACTGCATCCAAATCTTTCGTACATCATGGCTGTTTTTCAACACGTATAATGCTGTCTCATAGGCCTCAATAGCACCACTATAATCACCATACAATTCCAATAGCAGAGTGTAATTCAACCACAAGTAAACTTGACCCTCTGCTATGATGTCACTTGTAACAGTCGGCAGTTTATTCTCTACTGAAATTGACTGCCCAAGAACCTGACTGCAACATATAAATGAATAAGTCAGTGTCAACAAGCATTTGGTATAAGGGCACAAAAGAAGGAAAAATGTTAAGAAAATTTCCACCATACAAAAACATTGTGGGTGCCTTTTATGACAATTTAGTAAAAATTGTTTCACAAAAATGGGTGAGGACAGACAATCAAAACATAAAGCAAAATGGTTGTCAGCCAGCCATTGTCAAATGTGTAAAGACATAAGATTAGTAATCATGTGAAGATGTTGATACAATATCACAATGAAATATCGTTAGGGGTCATTAAACAAAATTGGTTGGTTAAATTTAGTGTTTGTTGTGTTCGTAGAGTGACAATTTATTCCCTCACTCAACCATGATGCATCACTCCATGTTACATGGTGATACCTTATTCCTCCATTAGAACCATGATGCATCACACCATATGTTAATGGAGTGATAGATACCTTATTCCTCCATTAGAACCATGATGCATCACTCCAT